GCTCTGAGTAACAGCTGTCCTAAGCCAAACACTTAACTGAATCATTACTTCAAATTTCCTAATGCTTTCTACTTCTAATTCTATCTCATTAACTCGCTTCTACCTTGCCCTGAATGAGCACTAGTACGTTCTCCATCTCTATAAGTATGTTATTCCACAAGCATTGTACTAAATTAAAACATGTTAACTTGAATACACATTAAGTTAAAAGAAATACTATAAATGTCTGATGTATTTATCTTAAAGATTAATATGAAGGGTTAGAGGTGTGGGTCAGGGGTACTATGCTACTATGCTTGCCTCACATTTTTGAGGACCCACGTTCCATCCTAACATTGCAAAGATAAAATAAAATTTTAAAAGCACATGAATTCCAGCTATTTCCTTTGGATATTCCCAGATTAAGTGTCACGCCAACTGCAACCCTCGCTTCAAGAATATCATTTTCAGGGGCCATTTCCAAGACAAATAATTATAACTCTTGGATTGTTGACTGATATCAGGTTTGGTAAAGGGAATGTTCAACATTACCATGTCAAATTTTATCATTTTGGGGTATCATGAGAACTTTCAAAAATTTGTTTCCTTCAAAGACACACACTAACAAACTTAGAACCAAAAATGTGGCAACTAGAATGTTCAATACCAATGAACTGAATGTTCAAAATGAAATTTTAGGACAGTGGTCACCATCAGAAGACAATGAGAGAAGTTCATTAGATGTAGAATTGAAAAGGTGAGCAAAATAAACAAGTACATTGATTATTTTGTAGAAATTATACCTCCAAGAAAAAACTCGATCATCCTGGATTAAGCAGAAACAAAAGTAATTATATCAGTATTTTGCAAACCCTAAAGAATATATGTATAGAAGAAGCAGTGAACATCAACATATGACATCACAAAGTCAGAAGAAAAGCATGTCAAATGCATGTATAAAAATGTCATTACTGAAACCAATTTTTATAATTTTATGATAATAAGAATTACAAAAAAGGAATCAGTATCTGTTCTACTCTGTCGCAAATGAATATGATCAAGTTTTCAGAACTAATGACCACTTTAAAGATATAGAAGAGGACAGAAGATCTTCTTAAACAACATCACAGAAATGCATCAGCAAATTTAGAGTGTGAAACACTCAGAGCACCAAGCAAATAAGGAAAAACAAGTATGTATTTATAAACAAAAGAAAAAGAAGCAAAACAACCAATCACAAGATAGGGACCTTATTTGAGTTCTGTTTTAAGTACTAGAAAAGTTAAAAATTTATGACAAAAGCAAATGTGAAAATTATGTGAGCATTTTTTAAAATAATAAAAGCATAATGTCTTTGTAGGTGTAATCAACTTTTTTTTAGACATGGTTAATTTTTATAGTTAAAAATTATTAAAATGCTATCTACCAAATTATTAACATATGAAAGTATATTTGAGATCAGCTTCAAAACAAGTTATGGTAAATGCAGACAGAGAATAATGAAACAAATTTTGAGCTGATAGTTGATGAAGACAGATGATGTACTTTACTCAAGTTCATTACACCAATACTTGTGTAACTATTAGTTTTTCTTGAGATTTTCATAGTAAATGGATAGTTATTCCTGTGTTAATCAATACATGATAAATTGGGGAGGCCTTTAAAAATCAGAAGTCATAAGTGAACATTTTTCTTAATGAAAACAATTCTTTCAGACATTCAGATATTAGATATGAAATTTGGCTAGCATACTCAAGATGGATCCCCTTAAAAGAGGCCACACTTTCTCCACACAGAACAATGACTGCTGAGAAAATTTAGAACTTCTTTTGAGAAAACAGATATATCAATAAAGCAGGTGGTGGTTGCATTGCTGGGGGCATTAAAAAACATATAAAGAGACAATTTTTAAAACTATGTCTATAAACATAATTGTTAATAGTCTTTTTTAAAAAAAGGCCTGCTTTATGAGAAATATCTAATAGTGAAAAATATCCTTGAAATATTATTTGTATAATTCAATTTTCCATTCTTGATTTTGATTTTGTATTACCTTCACTTTCAACTAATGCTTTTGAGTTTTTGGTGTTGACGTTAGGGCAAATTGTCTTTGCAAATGTTCACAAATGTTTTGAGGGCATGGGAGATGACATAAAAATGCTTACCCAGCAAGAATGAAGTTCAAAATTTGGATCCCCAGAACGTACATAAATTCCAGGAAGCATGGCAGCTCCCATGTCATCTGGAGACAGAAGTAGGGCTTCCAGGGCACTCTTAACCCAGACTTGCCACAACCGACTATCTTTGCCTGTGAGTGATCCAGCCTCAATGAGGAAAGTGAAAAAAAAATTGAAGGAAGGTGTGGTTTTTTGACCTCTAAAAACACATGCACACAGGACATAAGAGAAAATCAAAAGGCAAAAAATGTTTTCAAAGTCAAATAATTTATTTTAAAAACTGTGTTTTCTCCAGAATCTGTTTGGTTTTCAGTGAGAGGAACCTTTGAGAAGCTTGTCCAAACTTTTATCAAAAAAGTTTCTCTTCTGATCCTGTTCACAGGAAAAGACATGACCAAGTCCAAAAAGTTTCTAAAAAGATGTCTTAAGTCTCCAATTTAAAACATATTTCATGATTCTACAGATAAGAAGCACTCAAGCTGGAAGTTTGACAGGTTGTTTTAAGTCTCTGCAAAGTTCAGATATGAAGTGCAAGCTTGCAATCACTCTGCTTGTAATATGAACATACTAGTATTATTAATTAAATATCATATTTTGTAGTACTCACATTTACTGAATGCCTAAAAGGCCATGGAGATTTAAACCTTGGAACCCGCCTTGAGAGCAGAATCAGTTATGGAGGAACTGGGAAGTAAGCATCTTTGTAGACTGGTTACATACTTGAAATTCTTTGCAAAGATGCATTGCAGAAATTGTAACAGAACTTCTCCAAATATTTATCACCATAGTTAGAACTTTCATTAGAATATCTTTCTGACATAATAGTGTTCATAATGGTCATTTTAAAATCTGCTACCCCAGGCTGATAAAGCAATATTACAATGTCTTTCCATCAACAATATTAAAAACATTCATCTCTGGTAAATATTATAAAAAGCTGTACTATGATGCTGACCTAATATTGTTATTGTATTATTGTGACAGACTACCAAAAGATTTAAAAATATTCACAACAGGATATTTTAACTTCTGATAAAAAAATAAACTTTGAAATTTAACCAATCATCTGATAATATTTCTTAAAATTCAACTAAATAAATATCAGAGGACCCTTCTCCCTTAGTCATTAATGGTTTTCGTCATGCTTCCTGGTAGCTGTCATGCTTTTTGTATGATATGAGCTAGAACTGTACTGTCCAAGATTGTAGATACTGGTTATGTGGACTCTGTAATTGCAAAAAAAAAAAAACATAATAAATTCAAAATTTACTTGCTCTGTTCTGTAGTCAAATGTTGCTGAGAGCACCATATTAAAAAGTAAACATACAAAGGATTTACAGCATCACTGAAATTTCTGTTGAACAGTGTTGGTTCACAGCACTGAGAACTCTACTGATGGACAGGAAATGTCAAATGTGTGTTGTTTTTCTCCATGTCTCCTTGGCGGGAGGAATATAAGTTTGGGAATACCTAATTTAGAATTGTATGCATAGCATCCCAGTGTTGGGGTCTTTTCTCTCCTCTGTCTGTGACTGAATCTCAAAACATTCCTTCTCCTCTAGAAAATGAATCATAATGTCAGCCATTCTCAATGTTTTGTCCATTATGAAGATCTAGGCCAACTTATCTCTGCCTCACACTTTAATGCACAAAGAGTATAATTTGATATAATTCATGATAAAGTAAACAGCACTATCAAAAATAAATGAAAATAGCATGGAAAAATCAACCATAAGTCTAAACCAGGTGCATTTAAATGGAACTCCTGAAAACCTTGATTAAAAAATAATATATATATATGTATATAATATATAGTTAAATAAGTCATATAGTTAATGCAGACAAAAACAGATATTCTATAATAACTAGTCATTTAAATTGTAAATAGTTTCATAAAAACCACATGAATATAATGTATAGTTACATCATATTGAAGGCAATTGGATTTTAAAAACAAATAGTGCTTATTTTATTTTTTGATGATTATTTTAAATATAGTCATATAATTTATCAAAATGAATTCCATATGAAGAAATGTTTAGTAGAAATTCGATTTTTTTTTTCAGGTATTCTAGGAAAGACTTCTTTCTCTAGACTAAAAATTTGCTTATTGTTTGGGAATTTAATTTTTCCATTAAATTTCACAGCCCCTAAGAAATTAATTCGTGTACTACGTTACCCACAGAAATGTTTACAAAGAGAGAATGGAAGGTGGGGAGGCTGGAGAAAATGAAGGAGAGAGGGAGAGGGGGAAGGAGAGGGAGGGAAATAAAGGTACCTTAACTTCCTAGCATTTCCCCCAAATAAATTGTTGGATGTTGGTAATTGCACTCACTTTCAAGACTCTTTGCTGGAGTTAAATACATAATCTCATTTTGTTTACTTGCTCATTCCTCAACCAAGACTGAAGCCAAATATGTTAACTGTTAACATTCACCAGTGAAATATCACTCTAAACTTTAGTTTTTCATTTTTAAAATTTAAGAATGTTTCATTCTACCTCTGTAACTGCTCCTGACACAAGGCCTTTGAAACGTGGCTCACCAAATACTGGTGGGTCATAGAGAAGTTTGAAATGCAGCTCGTTAAGATTCTGAGGAGCTGTGTTGTACATAAGAATGAGAACTGATGGAGAGGCTGGGACTAAACACATAATTTTATGAAATATGAGGAAACATAAGGGTTTTGTTATGACGCACATAACAATCAAGGACCTGTTTCTTTTTAGCAAGCTCCTAAAAAGTCCCACCCGTATAATTATTAAATAAAAACACTCACTTATTCAGTACTCAGCTAGCTTTTAAACTCTGAATAAGAGAAGTACACAGTGAGAGAGGTACTTACATGGTTTCCTTGGATACTGGATGATGCCATTCAGGTCTATGTTTTATCTGAAAGTGGTGCCCTGCAGAGAAATGAGGCTTGTTGAGTGGCTGTTTATACATAGTAAGTAAATAGGAACCTTGTTTATTTTACAAAGCATTTTTTTTATTTTGACCCAGATTTCTTTTTCTCATCACACCCAAGCCTTGTAAACAGCAATAGTATGGTAGAGCAGGTACTTTGTCCAACTCGGGTTAACTACTCTTAAGAAATCATGGTTGTCCAAGTGGAAGCTCAGAAGGTTTTTGTCCAAACATGCTCCCTTAGTTCTCTACAGTTGGGCTGTTGTATAAACCAGTGAACACTGCTTGCCTGTCTTTTCCTTACAACGGGATTTATCAAAGCACTAAAAAATAAATTCAAATGTCCTTACCTTAAGCAACCAGGAAAGAACCCCAGCCATAGTCAGCTTCACATATCAAGGGTTTCTACAGACATGAGTTTGCATTTTAAGTGGTGCAGAGGCTATTCCCAATAGTTTAACTGTCATGACCATCCAATTTTGACACTGAGTCCCTTGGAACTGCAGGCTTTCTAACTTGGGAGGGTGATTAATCCCTCCTATGTGATAAGTTTTAACCTTCTAATATTTCTTTGGATTGAAGAGAGCAACTGAGCTGTGGCAAAGAATGGCCACTAACTTCAGTGCCTAACAGTTTAATAACCTGAAATGAAGTAAGTGTGTGCTATGTTTCCATTAAAAAGTTTCCAGCCACAATTAATTGAACAAAAACTTGTACTGTTCCAAGATTATTCTTGGAAATGTAATTTTAAAGCCTGTGTGAAATGAGGAAACTTAACTTTTTTTATACCATATGAAAGCAATTTCATTTTTTAGGAATGATTTTGGATAGACTTCCGATTGGATATTTTCCAATGGAACTAACATTGTAGAGGTTTGGGGTGGGGGAGAGCAGCTCTGTGTTCTTTTGCCAGCACTGACAAAGGTCTGGTTGTCAATGATACCTTTACTGCTAAATTTACCCAGAGTGACATGAACAGGTGCTCTTCGGCCTGCCAGACACTTGTGCAGAGGCATCACGCATCTCACCGCTTGACGACCAAGGGGGCAAAGCCTCGGTCTTCATAGAAAAGGAGAGGAGGCAAACACAGCCCAAACTGGGGGGTTTCTCTTCAAAGCCAGCTGGTCTGGCTTTATTCTACGGGAATTATTTACCTGTCAGAGTTGGGACAACAAAACCCTCAGCAGGTGCTGACGGGCAAAACTTCCTGGGGAAGCAGAACGGCACTGGTGAGTTTCAATTGGCAAAATGTATTTTTTTAATTTCTAAAAGTTGGTCTTGTTATCTTAGAGGAGACGCTGCTGGGGTACCTATGTCCACAAAGCTGATGAGAACACTGGAATCAGATCCATTTAGCTAACAGTGGGTTTGCTTGTGCACAAACAGAGCCCTTAGCATTTGACAGTTTTTAAAATTATAAAATGATGATTTTGTGAAAGAATAATTTATAGTTTTAGTATTGCTCTCTGATTGCTACTTTGAATATGTGAGTTTAACGAATGCATCACACGTATTACATGAGGCTATATCATGGTACCTCAGTTTCATTTTAATCGATTTCTCATAATCTTTGAATAAAATGTTATTTTCCAAAAACTTTCCAGAATCAAATTGTGGAATGGAATGAATTCTTCTCAAGAATCTTATTTGCTGTTATTTAAGTGTGTGTACATTTTAGAAACAGACTTGATTTTATTTAAGATAATTAAAACATCTAAGTGAACAGAAAAATTAATAATTTAAAGGAGCAAAATTTTCTCATTTTTTACAGGGATGTTTTTAAAAGAATAAGATCTTTAGAATAGATGATCAAGGGAATAATAAAGCATGTTTTTACATCATTTACTTCCAAAATTAGAACATTTATATTTTGTTATTTTTTTTTTATTTTGTGAATTCAAAAGTTGGGTAAAAATATTTTTTCAGAAAGGATTTTAATTAATGCAAAAGAAGGAAAAATGAGACCACATGTTAGGACATATTTTTAAAAAGTGATTCTATTTCAAGGACTCATTCTTTTAACTATGCTTCACAGCATTTCTCTACAAATTGTTGTATTATAGCAAATTGAAAACATTTATTTAAGAAAGGAAGCAGCTCAGAGCTAAGGACTATACATAGCAAACATATGAAACCATTTTCATAAGCAAATTCCATATTCACAAGCAACATGGGCTAATGAATGTAAAAGACACAACAGCATACATTGATCAAGAATGCTATAAATTATTATGCATTAAAATCAATTTTCTGGGCTGTGGGGGGTAGGATTGGTACTTAAGAAGAGAAAATCTTCTACAAATATGAATTACTAAGACTATGAAGCAAATGCTTTATTCTGATGGTGCCATAAATAATTTTCAATCTACATGTTTAATACTGGTTTGTAAAGTGGAAAAATATAAAATCTGGCTTTTGTTAATGACTATCTTATCTAAAACATGTTAAAATCCAGTGTGGTTTGTACATGTATAAACTTATGAGTATTTTCTTAAACAGCCTTAATTTCCCTTTAATAATATGAAAAATACTTTTAAATTGCCAAAAACTGAATACTTAAAATAATAGTCTCATCTATAAACATTTCTTTAATACATTTTTAAAAATTAAAACTCAATTTTACTTTGTATTATAAAGTATTACATATAGACTGTTTTTCAGATTATCAAAATGTATTTTTATTTAGGTGCATAGTGATTTGTATTCCCTTTTTTTTTTTTTTTTTACTTAGGTCCATAGTGGTTTTTACCCAGCCTCCTTTTTATGTGTATGGTGGTTTGTGCTGCTGTTTTCACAAATGCTTTGTCATACTTCATTGCTGATCCTGGCACAGGAATCACCAGATCTGTTACATTTTTAAAAATCTTCATCAGCCTCTTAAAGAATGAGACATGTGAAAAAAAGATAACTTTCCTAGTTTGTTAAGTGCTCTGTTCTTAAAGAACAAGAGCAATTGCTTTTGAAGGTGAAAACTATTACAAATCATAAACCTCTTAGGCTGCTTCAGAATTACACTTATTAAGTTCTCAAGTGCATTAGTACTGGACACATTTATCGCACCTGTCACTAACAAACACTGAAGCAGCAATAAGAAACATGAAAACTTCTGCCAAATGTTGTTTATGGCTATCAACTTTCTAGGGGTAGCAGAGCCTATTAAAATATTAGGTAGAGTATAACTATCCAAAATATCTAAAACTTATCATTTTCATTGTGCCAGGAATTCAGGCTTAGAAAATTCCATGTTTTGGTTGAGTTATCAGAAGCCATAAATCCCTGTTACCACTCACTGATATGTTTGTCCTTCCTAATAAATCTTCAACACTAGGTCACAAAATACCCATGCCAAATTATTTCATGTATATGAATAGGTCCCCTTAACAAGTCTTAGTGACAGATTTAAGATTAAAATGACAATGACTCATACTCACCCTGTGCATTTAAAGAATTACTTGAAATATATCTTAATAATGTAAAGATAATTATTCCAGAGTTGGAAATTAATCATTCTCCTGCTTCATAAAGCCACTCAAAAGGCTTTGTGTTCATTTTCTATATTCATAAGAAGGATGTTGGTTCTCCCAGTAATTCGCAATAACAATAATTAATAAACTGCATGGTGACTAACCATCTATTTAATTTAAGTACATGTAGTATGTCCATGTAAAAGAGTTTACTTGTAAGTATTTAAAGAAACAAAAAATACTTCGGCAGCTTTATATGTATCTCCTCATTGACCAGACACCTAACTGACAGCTGTCTTCTGTTCATGGGCCAGATGTAATTCAATAAAGATAAAAATGGCATATTACTCATCCCTGTTGATAATACCTGGTGCCAGTAAGCTTACAAGTCAGAATACCTGGACAACAGACAAGACAAATAAAAGGGAACCATCCCTCTGCCTAGCAGTCCTCCTCCATCATGGACTTATTCGCAATTCCTTCTTATTTGTCTAATTTCTTCTCTGTCTATATGTGCTTCACATCTACAAAGGGTTAATTTCCTTAAAGGAATTTTCAGAAGTGTGTACATGCTGATCAAAACACTAAGCACCTTAGTCTGTCTATCAAAGATAGGTATCTATCCTTGATCATATTAATTTTGAATTCATGAAATCCTTAAAAGTCAGGTGAGAAAGGCTTTGAAACTCCAATTCTCATTTTAGAGAAATTCCATAAAAGAATAAATTTGAAACTAACAGTCGCTGTGTGAGTAGGTGAACACAAATTTGGGCTTGTCTCTCAGTTCCATGTTCAGTTTTCTTTGACTTCAAAAATGTGGACAATCAAACCACCAAACTGAAAGAATCACATGGGGAAAATTATGAGTAAAGTTGCTTTCAAAGTCTTTTTCAGTCAGTTAAAAATACCAATACAGGTGTGTATATACACACTATATATATATATATATAGTGTGTATATGCAAATACATAAATACTAATATATATAATATATATAATATATATTAACATATATATTATATATATACATTAATATTATATATATATATATATAGTTTACCAGAGCATGATAAAATATAGTGTAAAAACATTAAGGACATGAACACATTGAAACATACCCATTTTGAGCTCTTCTGTGATCTCTTCATCATTCACATATATTTACAAATTGGAAATACAAATTTATTTCAAATAACAAAATAATTTTAAATGACAATAGTATGCTTTAGAATATTAATATAAAAAATCAAAGTTTAGTCTGATCTTTCTGAAAGATTGGAGGTGAATTAAAAATAATAAATATACCAAAATATAAGCATATGTATAGTACACAATGCAGTATACTTAAAAGCTGATTCAACAATTAACTAGGTTTGTGTGTGCGCGTGCGCGTGTGTGTGTGTGTCTGTGTGTGTGAGTGTGTGTGTCTCTTTGTGAGTGTGTGTGTGTGTGTGTGTGTCTGTGTCTATGTGTGTGTCTGTGTGTGTATGTGTATGTGTGTCTCTGTGTGTGTGTGTCAGTGTGTCTGTGTGTGTATGTGTGTGTGTGTCTGTGTGTCTGTGTGTCTGTGTGTATGTGCTAAGTAACAAACCACAGTGTAGCCCAATGGCTTCATTCTTGCATGTTCAGAGGTCATAGTATTCAATTAACACTGTATTAATGTAAGTACTGCACATCAGGTCAAATAGTATTAACTATCAATTACTATTGATATATTTGTTGATGACCCCTTACAATAAGCTGGTTCAATCAAGGTTAAAATATATAAATATTCAAATAAATACTAATTTTCTACCCTCTAGAAAGGAAAATGTTTAGGTTACAGTACATTTTCTAATTTTCAAGGAATATGTCTTATCCTTCGATTTTAAACTGGCATCTACAGGTAAGAAGTGGAGCTTTTAATACACAGACATACAAATTACTAAAACAAAAATGGGAAAACTTAAAATATGGGTATAAGATATGGATAAAAATGGTGGCTACCTTTTCTTTCCAAAAGATTGTTTTAAAGAAATCAATAGTTCTATGACTAATACTGTCATTTAACAACTAAATTATATATATGCATATATATGTATATATATATATATGAAATTTATTTATTTTATTGCATTTTCGTCCTAAGCAACCTTAGGCATTAATCAACAGATAATTTGACATATGCAATAACAGCATGCAAATGAATTGCAAGCAAATTAATCAGCAAATAATATCCATTTCCAGCTATTGTGGAAAACAGAGATGTCAAAAGAAAATATGCAGAATGGCAAGGGATCCCAGGCAACTTAGTCTTGCATCTCAAAGGAGTTTTTTATGAATGTAAATTGCCCCTTGCCTGCTTCTAAAGGATAACAAGAATTTCTGTCTAGAGCTGATGAACATGGTTCAAAGAACACCAGGGCAGAAGTGTGAGATCAGAGACCTCCTTGTCTCTGTGTCACTGCTATGTACTTTTGTGACTGAAAAGAAGTCACTTAATCTCTGTGACATAACTAAATGGATTAGAGCTTTAGGGTTAGTAACATACAAATCACAAGGAAAGAAGTTACAGCTAACGAGGACAGTATTCTCTCTGCTTCATGGGAGGTGTCCCAAAAGGACTCTGGGCCATTGTTGGAATGCTAGCTGCAATGGCATGTCCTGTCTGCTCCAAGTTGCTGTAAATACTTCAAATAAGAGACATCTCAGAGCAGTGTAGAGCTGGGAAGTTAAAGGGCAATGTGAAATTATTCCACAGAACGTTACTGAGTAAGCATCTACTAG